TTTTTCCAGATCGTAATAGAGGCTGGATGCCAGGCCTCGGGATGTGCCTGTCGTTGTACTCGACCAGTGGGGACATCAGATGGCTTGTTACCGCCCCAAGGATAGTCTCCTCTGGGGGCCATCATTCGTGAACGTTTTGTTGTAATCAGATTGCAAGTCGATCCCTACAGCGGTGCAACCCAGAGCTGTCTCTAGACGTAGACCTACACCAACCCTCGCCTTCCAAGGGTCTCAGACGAGCCCCCCCCGGCCGCTACCATAGGGACACCCCAAATTCTCGAGGATGACCTGGACACAGGAGGGGTCACGGGTATGTGGTCAGTCCCCACCTGTATCACATCTACCAGACTATGGGTGTCTTCAACCGTTCTACTATGAATGCGGCAACCCACCCTCCCCTGCCTAAGATGAGACCCCTACCCAGAGACCCTTCCCCAGATTCACGCCCCAATCGATCCCCCGCAATGGGAACGCAGACAGGTACCAGCCCGGATGAAAGCCCAAACAGCAAGCACCGTAAGATAGACATGAGGCCCGCCCTTGGGAATCGTATAGGCCTAACACCCAACCCTTGCCACTACTCAAGGGGGGTGTAGAGAGCGGAGCCGGACCAGGACCAGGATCATACCATGTTTTTTTTTTTTTTTTTTTTTTTTTTCTAAATTTTTGGTGGGATCTTCCTTGGTCCTTGCATGGGCTGGCCACCCGGGAGGGGAGTAGTGGACACGGTGTGTGACTCCAATGCACCGCGGGTTTTTTTTTTTTTTTTTTTTTTTTTTAAAGCCATTTCGAGTTTTCATCATCGGCCACCGCCAGGATAGAGGGATATCGTAAGGGCCATTCTCAAAAAAAAAAAAAAAGAAAAAGAAAAAAAAAAGAAGAAAAAATCATACCATGTAAGTTTGGACTCTCGCGGGTGTACCATGAGGCCAGGAGACTACTATGCTACCCAGACACATCCATGACACACCCACAGAGCAGTGCATACGAACGAGGCGGTGCACACAGACAGGCCCACGATCTCTACCCAACTTCCTACCTATCCTAATCTAGACCTAACCCGACCTAACTCCTCTATCCCTGTCTCCTCTATCCCACTCAAGGTGAGTACACGAGACATGACCCAGAGATCATTGGACCCCTTCTCCCCCCCCAACACACACACACACACACACACACACACACACACACACACACACACACACACACACACACTCGTAGGACCAACCCGAGGCCAACCACTGAAACATCCCTCCCCCAAGGCCCGCTACCAAACGATGGACTAAACCCCTTGGGTGGTGCACAGGCAGTGTCTGTAATAATTACCATGTGTCATCGCAAAGGGAGTGTGTGTGCGAATGGCCGTGCGTTGGTGAACGCCCATCAACGTCCATGCGCAAGGCTGTGGAGTTTTGAGCCCGCGACCTTATACCACAATGTGCATTTCCAACCGGTGCTCCTTCCCCACCGAGCTACCGCAGCCTACCGGCCATTCAATTTGATTTGATTTGATATGTTGATCTGGCGCCGGTCAAGTGGGACTTGGCCCCAGGCTCTCCGGCCTGGATTAACCCCACCTCGGCTGAACATCCGTCAGCCTGCAACGTCGTCACACCCTAATTAACTATAATTAACATCACACTCGAATCATTAACACTAATTAACATCACCAACCCAAACACTAAAACACAAACCAACTCAAATCATCAAATCAAAAGGAAAACGCAACCAGAAACCTACATCTCCAACCCTAAACACTAAAAAAGACCGACTGAATTCCACCCAAAAAACAGCTAACAGGCAAAGAAAAGAAAACCAAATACCCACTACACACACCAACGTGAACTTCTTTTTTTTTTTTTTTTTTTTTTTGCCGGAAACCAGGTCCAGCGTCCCTTACATTTACGCCATGGCCTTAACAGGCTGGGCAAGGCCCTCCCGGCCAAGCTCATCCCGACCACAGCCAAAAAGTCTGAGTCTGATCTTGAATGGTTCAACAAGCAAAAAGAACAACTATC